AGGATGTTTGATTAATTTAAACTCCCTGGAGAAACAGATTTCTTCATTTCTACAGTCAGTAGGGTTTGCTGCAGAACTATTAGAAGGAAAAAACCTAATGTGTTATTGGTAAGTCAATGAAGATACACTGGGAGAACAATTTGGCTTGCATGAAGGAGAATACAAGTATAAAAATCTCAATGTGAGAATAACAAAGGAAAGTAGCTGCTTAGAGCACAAAACCTTGTCAGATATAAAACAACAGCAGAGCTTTGGAGAAAGCTATTGTTTTCTTCACTGCAAACTTTCTAAATTAAAACCCAGTCAGTTGTCTTGTTGCTGTGAGCACAGTAATGCCTTTTTTTCTTTTTTTACCTGTAGTTATGTCTGTATTCTCCAAATCTGTGATAATGTAAACCTGAGTTAAACAGTCCTGGCTAACAAAGTCAAGAGAAATAATGGGAAAGGGACTATGAATGTACTTTACTACTTTAAAAATACCTAAAGGAAAAATAGACATTTTAGAATATCTTGTAAAAATCGGTACTCTACAGATTGTATAACAATTTTGGATTCAATGAAATGTCAGGAACAGAACCACTTTTTCAAAAGGTGAAATTCTGTAGATGTGTGTATATGAAGAACAGATGAGCAGCTTTGTGCAAAAATGCCTATAACTGCATTTGAAAAAGACAGTGAATGTTTTGGGTTACTCTAGATGTCCCACAGTCTGTGTCTTGGAATTTAGCTCTGTGACTAAAGGAGGCATAAAAATTGGTCCAATTTTAGTTGTGTGGAGTAACTCAATTGTAATCTGAATTCTTAGCATCAGTGCTCTATCTTCATTTTTTTCATCATGTACTGAGGCTAAACGATAATCATTATCCTAATCTAGAATTTGATCAGAGCTAGGGACTAGCCACTGGGATGAGGCAGAAGGGGACAAAAGGAATCCAGAGGGAGGCTGGTGTTCATTAGGAAGGTCTCCCCTGCTTGGCTGCTTGAATATGATAAAATCACATTTCACTTATGATGTTTACTGTATGTGGCAGTTCCTATTTGTAAATAGGGCAGGTCCCCTGTATAAAGCTGGTGTTATTATTCACACCCATAGAGCAAACACCTCCACCCCCCGTTGTTGTCTTAAAAAACTCCAGCTGCTCATGAATATAGGGTCAGGGAGGGCCGGCTAAATGTTTCTCTGTGCTTTCTCTCCAGCACAGCCAGCAGAGCTGTTTCCTGTTCTTTGTTTCAAGGCTGGGGTTTGCGTCATACATTCCAAGTGGCATATGTGTGCTCTTTCCTGTTTCAGGCTGTTTTCTGGTAGATCAGTAGTCCAGACCAGGCCGTGGTCCCTGCCCCTAAACTCCCTATCCCCACCCAGGGAGTTATCATGTCTCTACACACTTGCTATTGCTCAAGATGCCTGTGTTATGTCATAATGAGAAGTCGGTTAACCTTTTTACGTACACCCTTTGCTCCACTGCGTTTATATGAGTGAATAAATACTTTTACCTTTTTTAATATCTCATTGCCAGATTGTGATTTTGAGAAATTTAAGTGCATATTGGCAAAGAAATCCAAAGGAGGTTGTTTTGTTTGTTTGTAATTCTAGTGTTGGGGTGGGTAGCATATTTGTTTTAAGATAGGCATTTTGCCCTGAAGCTGTCAATTTTGGATCAGGCTTAACACCTCACAGGTTGGAAGACCTGGCATTACCTGAAAGAGATGGCCCACCCTTATTCCCATTTAACACATACCACCTCTCTGGGCAGCTTCTGTGGAGGGAGAATTTGAGCAGGCTTGGTAGCCTGGGCTGAATTGAAAGTCTTGCTTATGTTTTGAAGGAAAAATCTTTAGGAAAATAATTGAAGCAAAGCATAAGACATAATGGGAAGGTCCCAGGATTATTTGTTTTTAAGGACAAAGATTTCACTGTATAGTATTCTTTCTAGATCTGATTTCCCAACTGTTTTTAAGAATTAAAAGCTCAAAGAAAAGGAGAACTGGCAAGAACATTCATTTAATGATAGTTTGGAAAATTTTAATCTTATATTTTGAAAACAGAAGGAAAATGCTCTTGCTCTTTTTTTCAATGACAATTTTTTCATAATTCCATTTTTTAAAATATTTTGTAAGTTAATGAATTTCTGGGTTAACTAGTTAAAACCTGCTTTAACAAATTATTTTGCTCTGGGTTCTGGAGAAACTAAGTTTCAAGGAAATGGTTGAAAAAGAAAACGTATGGCAAGTTTCTTTTCTAAACTTATTTGGGGATTTTATTTAACATCTAAAGGACTCATCTACAATGTCTCTAATGGAATTCAAAAAGTTGCTGAAGCAGCAAATCAGGCCTGAACTCTTAAAAATTTATAACAGTAGTACTTTGGTTTTAAATGTCACATTCCACCACATTCTTTATGTATAAAAGGAAAGTATAAAACATTGATATGAAGGTACTAGAATCAAATAATTGGCTACTGATAACTTTCCTTGAGAAAAGTTAGGAGCTTTGGAAAGTCAAGATTCTTCCTTTCCGCTCTGGGAAGAGCAACTTGAAATATTAAGCTGACTTGTAGGACAAGAGGCCTTTAATCTTAAATTCTTAAGTAGCCCAAATTGAAGCAGTTTTTTTTTTTGTTTGTTTTACTTCCAAAGTTGTTAACAGTTCAACTAAACTTGGTAAACAGAGTCTTTATTTGGCTTTCCCCAAATTCTCCCCTCCCCTTTTTGGGAGGAGAGGGAAGTGGTTAATAGAGATGATTAGGATCTAATATATTCTGGCAGAAAAAAAATTCTGCAAGCTTTTAGATGCTAAGCTAAATAGTTAAGGAAAATTATACTATCTGATAGTTTCTATAATTACCAAAAAATGAGAAAAATAGTTTTATCTCTTGACTATATAAACCATGACTCCTATTTCAGTCTCATTGTATTGCTATCTTCCCTTTTGGTGCTTGCCTTCTTAATATTTCCCAGTCAACATTTTTGCTATCAAATGACAGCTTTCTTGGGCAGTATTTCTTACTGTTTTTACACCCAGTTTTGTTTAAGAAAAACAAAAATATAAGCAGCCTCATCCTTTAAATACTAGGAAATACATTATTCTGGAAATTGTACTTTTTCTGAAGTGCTTCATTTATCATTGGTTCTAGCTTAAAAAAAAATCCCTAGAGTCTTAAAACAATTAGCTGGTTTGCTAATATGTGATATTCTTCGAGTGAGTTGGACGAGGATTATGATGGTTGTTAGCATTCTCACGAGCCTGCCCTGTCTCTTTCTTAGACCCCATTTCTCATCTTAAGCAGTCATGCCAGAGCTGGAGACAGGAAACCAGACAGCAGTCTGCCCTGATAAGGGCGAGCATTGTCTAAAGGGGGTAGCCCTGCTCTTTCTTCCCCAACTCAACTCTCCTTCCTTGAAATTTAGTAGTAATAAAAGAGGCACAATGCTGCAGACACAGTTTCAGAACCAGAACTAGGATTGATTTCTCCCAAAACAAAAAACTGTCCTTTCCACTGGCCCTGCGCTGATTCTGGAGTGCTGCCACATTCAATGGAACATTAAGAAAATTACCAGTATGTATTGTATCCCTAAGTCAGAGGGTTTGTAGTAAAGTTCTTTCTTTTAGCAAAACAGGTTTCTGAAGATTTTTGAAACTCACTCCATTGTGTTGGCAGGCTGAATTCATTATCATTTCTCCATCTAATTATATTAAGGGGGCTGGAGTTAAAATGGAGCGCTGCCCTTCAGCCCGTGCATTTAGTTTAACCCCTGGGTCTACCTCTTACCCTCAATTCCAGGAAGGGAATGCTCCCTGAGGCAGCCTTTTTGCAGGAGGACCCAGGAGTGCCCAGCTTAGTCTCACATACTCAAGATGGTTGCCAGTCTCTGGGAGGCTTGGGGTCCTGCCAGGATGGCCCAGAGCTAGTCTCAGCCCAGATCAGTGGAGTTTGGCCAAATCTGGACTGGACATAAGAGATCAAGTGGATATTGAGATCAGTGCATTCTACCCTGGAGAGCAACTTCTGAATCCAGTATAGGTTTTTCTCCCTTGGCCTATATGCTATTCGACTACTACTACTGTTCTTTGAGTCTAATCACTGAAATCCACTCCTTTATCTCTTCTTGCACTTTAAACCCTGGTACCTTCCAAAGTTTTGCATTCAAAAACTGCTTTCATTTGTATGATCAAGTTCCTGTTCTGCTTAGTTCTCCAAACAGGGAATTTTTCTCTCCCAAGTTGCCAAAAGTTTTCACATTTACTTTGCATTTTAGAAGGTAATATTTCAGGCTGGCTTTACTGGCCACTGGATAAATTCTCCATGTCTTACACCTGGTATACAATTATTCCAGGGCCTTTCGTCCTTCATTTATCCTAGCATGTGAGAGGTGTAGTTTGACATCCGTTCAATTATTCATCTCACAAGTATTTATTGAGTACCTACTTATTAGAGCTCATCTCAGATTATGTGCAATCATTACTCTGAGTTATGCCACAGGACGGAGTGGATCTGCAGTGATCTAACCTGAAAAGGCATTTTGAAATCTTAATTGCCTGCTGGAACCTCCTGATGGCATGGCTCACGTGGCCAGTGTGGCACAGCGCACCCACACCCTTCCTGCTGGGGATGACCCCGCGTGAGTTCCCGTAGCACACAGGCTCTGAAGCAGAACAGAAAGCCCTGGTCTGCAGGCAGACACATTTCTGTTCTTGACGGAAGGTCCAGCCAGCTCAGAAATTGGGCGGGTCATTTCACCTCTGTTCCTCCATTTCCTCATTTCTAAAATGGGGATGAGGACCTGACCCTTCCACCCTTGTACAGTTATTATGAGGATTTCCGTGTTTACTTGGGTAAAGCTGCCAATTTTTCTCAGTTTTATGGACAATTGCAGGTGCATTGGCAGGAAGAATAATACCCTAATTTGGGGCCTTCCGAATGTGTCTTTTGATCTCGTGTCCACGCGCATGCCGAAACGGGAGGAGTGGAAGTCGTCACTGCTGTAAGTAGATGTAGACGCTCCCGAGTTCTTGGTCTTCCCCCAGGACCAACCTGTTGGCAGAAACCACTCTCCCTGTCTGCTGCAGCGCCCTCTGCCTGGGGCGGTGGTAGAGTGGAGTGCTAAGGCCACCAGCCTTGAAGTCAGACTACCTTGGATTTAGATTCTGGCTGTACAGTTTAGCAGCTGTGTGATCTGGGCAGATTACTTTATCTCTCTGTTTCGGTGTTCTTATCTGTAAAATGGGGACGGCAGTACCCACCTCACTGGTATTAAGTGACACGTCCAAGTCAAGAGCAACGCCTGCTGATTACCAGTCATAAAGATGGTGATGGTCAGCAGGAACCTGTGACATCACTTGCCCCTTGCTGCCCTTGCTCAAGGGAAGTGTCCTTTTTTAAAAACCTAGTGTTTCCTCATCCACACACACCCTCCCCCTGTAGCTGCCTCCTCATCCTCCTCCTTTTCCCTCTCTCTCTTTCTTTTTCTGTATTTTAGTCTTTCAAACAGAGGTTAGAGACCTTGACACTAGACTTGTTTAGAAGACCTCCTGGGTGGAAAATAATAAATTCTCTGAGGATGGTATTGATAAGGTCTCTGGAGTACCCGTGATAGGCAAGGTTAAGGTCAGGAGCAGTGACTTTTCTGCGGAAGTTTAGTTTACTAGGTGTCCTTTAGGGTTAGGGCCTCCTTCACACCCATTGCCCGTGTAAGGGAGACCAGTGCATTCAGAGGGAAAGGGAGATGATTGTAAAACTCACTATGGGCTAAGTGCTCTTATATGCTTGACAGAAAAAATTCATTCATTGACAAGCCTGATCTCCTTTGGGGAGTGGGGAGGGAGCCCTCTAAGAAAGGGTGAGGCGTACCTGTCTCCTTCAGGTGCTCCCCATGCTTCAGGTGGTGGTACCACCGGGAAAGCTGAAAGGCCCAGGGTGTGTCTGGGTAAGAAGAGGCAGCCTGGGATCCACCAGGGAGTGATCAGCTGGCCCCACAGAGTGGGGAGGGCCTTGAGCTGGTCTTTGAAGAGTTAGGAGGATTTAGATAAGCCGGAAGGGGAGGGGGCATTCCACACGGTTGCCCAGCATCAGCACCGGCCAAAAGTGAACAAAGGCCTGGGGCGGGGAGCCGCAGCGAGGCTTGCTGGAGCAGGGCAGCTGGCTAGAGGGTGCGGGTATGGGCGCCTGGGCCCGCTTGGGAGCCCTGGAGAACCCCGTGGGAGGAGGGCTTGTGAACTTGGGAGGACTGTGAAGATCCTCAGGGGTCGGCATGGACCGAGAGGAGGGCACCTGGAGGCGGGGAGACCAGTGGAGGAGCTCCAGCCACAGAGCTGTGAGATGCTGAGGGCTTGGCCCTGCTGCAGGAGTAGCAGGGGAAAGCAGAGGAGATGAGGAAGGCTTTGAAGATGGCCTCTAGGTCTCCAGGCTGAATGACCAGAAAATAAAGCAAATGGAAGATTGGGAGGGGACAGCCGTTTAGAGGCAGGAGCAAGGGGGAGGACTTGGGTTTGGGCCATGTCGATAGCAGTGGTTCAAAATGCTTTTTTCTGTTTGTTTCTTTTTTGTTTACTTTTGAAGGGAGAGCAGTATTCGTTCATGGTTTTGTATCCAAAGGTTCAGTGGTTCTTTGGGGTGAACTTTAATGGTGGGTCCTCAGGAGCAGAGAGACTACCACACTGAGGACTCTTTCTGGTTATTTTTAAGGTTTCAGCCATCCCTGTTCAGGCTGGAATTTCCAGGAACTGGCTGCTGCCCAGAGCCAGTTGGCCCGTCCCAGCTCCCACTCCCTGCAGGGTGGGGCCCCAAGGGTGGAGGCCCCTCAGGGTGGAGTCCGGGTGGGTCTGCAGCGATAGGGAGGCACCAGGCAGAGGCAGATGAGGGCGGGGTGGCCTCACGCAGCCCTCTGGCTTTGATTATATAACGCCTCACAGAAGAGAATTGTGAGGGCTTAGGCAAGGCCTGGTGAGATACATACACAGCAGGATTAGACATGGGTATTTTTCAATTTATCTTAGGTTGCTTGCCCATAAAACTAAGACACAAAATTGTCAGAGAGCACAAAGAAGGAGAACAAGGCGTAACCCTAGTAGGGGAAATGATTCGAGTTTGTTAAAATTGCTTTGAGAAGGGTGTGGGATACCGCCAACCAGGTGGCCTTGAGCTTGAGAGCTGAAAGAGTGGGTTTTGCCAGCCCCCATCCCGGCTTGCTGGGCCTCAGTGTCAGTGTGGAAACATGTAGGGATTTTGCTTCGTTGTTACCTTTGCACCTGTCCTTATTTACATGCAAAATCAATTGCTTCACTTGGTCTTTCCGAAGTACAGGGTGTGGGCAGAGTCTTATCTGAAGCCATGTCCTGTTTGGACAAGTTGGGCTCGCCTTGGCAACTCTCCATAGGGTGGAGCAGATGGGTGGAGGCAGGAAAGTAAAATTGGGTGGCTTGTTAGCCGAGAGAGGAGAGAGGGTGGATTGTTTGCTCACTGGATCATTATATTTCATCTGAAACGAAATAATTAACTTCTTTCCCACTTACAATACATGTTCATGCAAAATAACTCATGAGGGGCAAAGATTTAGAGATACTCTGAGTTTATTTCCTTTCAAAGCAGCGATAGAAGACAGAGGCAGGTGAAAATCGTGGAGTGGTATGAAAAGGACACACTTCCAGGTAGGTGCCAGCACTTAGCTTTTTCTTAAAGGAGCCTCTAGCTTAAAAATGCCTATTGACATCTGTTGCTGGTCCCTGTGTTTCTAGCCGGGACAGCTGCCACTAACTATGACTTGAGGCAGCAGGAGATTTTGAAGAGTCTGGGCAAAGAAATGAAGACAGAAAAGCTTATCTGGAAAGCAAGTTTGACCGCAGGGATGTTGCTGGGCCCTGCTCCTGGCCGAGAATCACACGCATACACACAAAGCTCTTTCCTTTTCTCCCTGAAGTTCTTTTGGGGAGTAAAGGGTGGGGGGTTGTGATGTTTTTCCTCTTTTTAAAATCCAGACAGTTGGAGGAGTTTAAAAGGGTCACTTAACCGATGGATGGCTGAGTCGTGCTGTTTTCCACAAACCCTGCACCTTGCTGAGGTCAGCCAGGAGCCGTGCTGGCTTGGAGGGAGGCTTAAGTTCAGACCTGGGTGGGGGAGGCAATGTTGGGGCCCTTTGAGGGTCTGAGGAAAGAAATAGGACATGGAAAGGGGAGTAGGGGAGAGTGTCAGAGGCAAGTCTTGCTGTATCCCCAAGAACTGGGAGGAGACGGCTCTGGCGCAGGCTTGTTCTCTCTGCGGCTGCTCCCTCCCTGTTGGCGCTTCTGAGGAAGGGGCAGGCGTCATCCCTAAGATTGTTTTTGTAATAAAACACACTCTTGCTTCAAGACTAGCTACTTTCAGAATAAGTTTGGGGCGTCCCCCGACCTCTTCCCTGAGGACGCTGTGGATTTCTAAGCGTGGAGGACGACAGCAGTCGGGACTCCCAGGCTGGGCTGATGGCTTCTGAAACTTCATGTAAATGACTCTCCAACTCTCCAAGCTTTTAAATACACAATCACACAATTTTGCATCGTGACAAATTATTTGACCCTTATTTTGACATCTGAAAAGTCAGAAATATAAATGGAAGGAGTGTGAAAGGAAATCCATTTCTTCCTTTTTGGCAACAATTCTGCTTTATTGGCCCTTTTCAGCAAAATAACACATTGGGAAAGATTATTTTGGCAATGGAGATATTTTTACATATTTTTGCTGTTAAGCACCGCGATAACTTAGAATTTTTTTAAAAAATAGTTCTGCCCTTTTTTTCTTTTCTAAATGCAATTTTGTTATCCTGGAATTGCTTAGTTTGCCTTAGGATGTATTGCTGCTAAGCTAGTTACATATAATGAAGATGTAAATGTGTTTATTGTTGGGGGAAATAGTTGTGAGAAAAAATAGAACCACATGTGGGGCCTCATCTCTGTGATACCCACATAAAATGGTTAATAGAATTCCTGAGCTTGGTTAAAACAATAGGTTTAAAGACTCTGAGGTTGGCACACTGGATTGACTGCCAGTGGCCTTGTCTCTACTACCTGTTGTAGTGTGCCACCTAGTGGTGCTATTTAAGATTGCTGTTGGTGTTGAGTAGTAGATTTCCTAAGCATTTGTGGTTTATTCAGTATGCTTTTAAAATGACAGTAATATCCCGGGAGCACCTAACTGCCCAAGGGTAACAGAGACCACCAAGTTTAGGGACCCGAATTCTTCAAGTGCTTAAGTTACTTCTCAGTTACACAGAAGGCACTTTGAAGACATTGCAGTCACTCTCTTCTGATGCTAGACCTGAACCCATAAACAAAGTCAATACCAATGACAAAAGTGGCCTATTCAGAGATATGGGTACAAAGTACAGAAATTTTTTGCAAATAAAAGCCTGGTTTACATTAATGTGTTTGATTTTCTTAAATTTGGTTCCTTTCTGGCTTACCTCTTTAATTTGTTTTATTAAAAGTTTTTAATTACAGAATTAATAAACTTAAAAGTCAGCACACAGATATGTATAAAGCTATGCCGCACCCCCACTCTCCACCACTCTCAGGAAGCTCTTGTTAACAGGTTCGGATTGTATATCATTCCAGTCTTTTTCTTTGCATGTTCTCTTTCATATTGTATGCTTATCACTAAAAGCATAATCACTTAAAAGTCATTTCAGAAGTTACCGAAATAAGAACAAAGTGCTGTTAGACATGTAAATGGTCAGTGAGTTTGATTCTGTTCATCGTGATATTTGTATTTTGCACAGACTTTTTTTTATCGTCCAGTGATGCATTATTTAGTTAGGAGATACAAAATGATGTATTCTAATCCTATCCTCCTTCCTTTATTAGCGTAAATGCTCCTATAATGAGAAATAGTTCGTCATCAACATTTGTATTAGTTTGAGGTGCAAATAAACATGCCGTTGTAGTTATTTTTTAACAAAAATGAATCAGGTTTCGTTAGGATCAGTGTTTTAGGGCTATACGACTTGCAAAACACCAATTTCCTTAAATTTGATAAAACAAAAACTTAATAATGATTTAAATAATATGTTTAAATGATAAAATTTATTGCAGGCTAATGTGTAATTCATTTCTAAATGGATTCAGTAGTCATCACTGTGGGTAATAGACAAAGTCATTGAAAGTGATAAGAGCTAAATGTTAGAATTTAAACTGAAGGGAACTCGAGAACCCATCATCTTAATTTATTCTACTATGACACAGTTACTGGTAGTAAAGAGTGCAAGATAAGGCACGGTGTGGCGACCATGCTAGCCTCATGTGGCAGCTATTGCAGTTGTACAGTTATAAAGTCACAAGGCCGTCTGTGAGACCTTGTACAGGATGTAGGCAACTGTTAACTTTGAAACTAAATTTAGTCTGAGTTTCACTTCAGGGTAAAGGGATTGACCTCTAAGGCTAGGTATATTAGCAAAGAGGCAAATACCAGACATGGCTCCAAAAGTAGAAACCAACAAATTTAGTGTTGTGTGTATCCCAAAATTATGTGCATATTTGTTGACATAAATAATTTAGAGGGCAAAAGAGTATGTGGGGATTTGGGGATTGTTTGTTTTTTTAATCTGATTTGATAAAGACCTAAAACCTTGAGAAGTAAGGAAGGGTGGGGTCTGCATTTCACATGTGAAAAAACTTGTCCCATGGTCAGGCTAAGTGGCAATTTGCTAGAGTCTTAAGACCAGGGCTCTTCCCTTATACACCTGAGAACGTGAGTGCTTTTTTATTAAGAAGAATTTGCATCAAGATCCTGACTAGTGTAACAGCTGGCTCTCTAAGAGTGAATTCAGTGCAGAAGGCTTGGTGAGGAAGACTGCAGCAGGATAGTCAGCCGTGAGTCAGGGCTGCCAAAATATCTGACCTCATTAATGTAAGCAGGAGATCTCACATCTTTTATTTATGGTCCACTATGGGGCACTGGACAATAATTCTTAGAATCATGTCCATCCATGCAGCTTCTAGTCTGGGAACTGGTTAATAATAGATCCCAAGACGAAAAAGCGTTTTCATTCTTCGTTAGGAAATCATCTATTTTTCACTGGCTATTGGAGTTTGTTCTTGCTGGGATACATAAAAGGGAGGTAGCACCATTGAGTTGAGTAGCCTGGTATCAAATTGTGTTTGTAAATTATAATATGTCCTGTGATGAAGGAAAATAGAATTTTGTAGTCAGGGCCTGATGAGTTATTGATGAAATTCATGTGTTGGCAGGAGATGTAGAACAGGCTTCAACGAAGCAATGAAGTGCAAGAACTACACAATGCTATTTCTGCAATTGTATGAGACGATATCTTAGTATAACCCATATAGCATAAACTCAGTAAACTATAGGATTGATATTGTGGAGGTGGGGGCAAAGGTTTTTAATACTGAAACACAGTACCAGAACCCAGGACTTCTGCAACTTCTTCATGTAGAACTCAATCTAGAAATTTTTCACTTTGCCCCTCAAACCAGGGTGATCTGTAAAGATCTTACCTCTCTAATCAAAGCGCTGAACACTAAAACCAACTTTGGATAGTAAGTGCCTGAAATAGGTTTCTGACGATCAGTCTAGTAGCTAGACAGTGACTCTGTCACCTTATGAAATGCAGGTGAACATTGAGGACACTGAATATTTTGTCCTGTGAGGAAGTGTAATAGTTGGCTTGATGTAGATTAGTGTTAGAAGTAGACTAGTATAGAACACAGAAGAAAACAGAGATAACAAGCCGAAAAAAATAGAAGAGAAGGACAGGACAGGATCAAGGCAGACATTTCCTTTACATTAGGCAAAATCGGAATGAAAACAAGCCGATTTTCTCCATATGTGAAAAGTGCTTAGAAACGATAAGAAATGGCCTGGGGAGGTGGGGAAAGGCTCAGGACTTGAGTAGGCATTTCTCAAAAGAAGTCTAAATGGTCAGTAAAGATGAAAAAAATTGAACTTCAATAATCAGATCAACTTAGAATAAAAATAATTTGCCATTTGAGACTAACATTGGCAGTTTTTATTTCTTTTTAAGTGGTTGAAATTTTGGAAAATGGCTTCTATTTTATTAATGAAAATGATAGAGCATCTTTGTTGGATAATACATCAGATGCTTTGGAAAGTGAATATACTTCTTACCCAAGAATTCTCCTTCATAAAATTTTTCCTAAAAATTGCTGAAGGATGTACAGGAAGACGTTAGTATAAAGAGGTCCATTGCTGCTTGCAATGGGAAATTTAGAAGCAACGTAAGTGCCAATAAAAATGGACAAATAACTGATCTGTTCGCACTGTATGGCACAGTTAATCTGAGGGTATGGAACCATACTTACTGAAAAAGGGGCATTTTCACAATAAGTGAAATGAAGGGTACTAAATAGTATGTAAACCAGGGGTCCCCAAACATTTTAAACAGGGGGCCAGTTCAATGTCCCTCAGACCATTGGAGGGCCAGACTATAGTTTTAAAAAAACTGTGAACAAATTCCTATGCACACTGCACATATCTTATTTTGAAGTATAAAAACAAAGGGGCAAAAACACCCACTTGTGGCCCACAGGCCGTAGTTTGAGGACGCCCGATGTAAACTATGGTCCTATTTAAAAAGAAAAGCTCTGAGTGGTGGCTCACACCTGTAATCCCAGCTATTCAGGAGGCTGAAGCAGATTGCTTGAGCCCAGGAGTTCAAGACCAGCCTGGGTGATATAGTGAGACCCCCATCTCAATAAAAGAGAAGGTTTATTACAATAAAAAAAATTTTAATGTTTGGTTCTAGGTTTTCTCTTTGCTTGTCTTTTTTTCCCCTGATTTTTCTATAATGAACCTAGGGGAAAAGGAAAGGTGGTTAACAGTCTTATGTAATGTATACTTCTAGTGGGTTACGCAGCAATCCTAAGCAAGCTTTGTTGTGAGAAGGGGCTGTACATACTGTCCAGAAATGTCAGGGCTTATGTTTTTGAGTTAAATGTCAGTTGGCTCTCATCTGGTTATTACCATGGGGTCTGGGTTTATTTGTTTGTTTTTGTTTTAGAGGCATTTTATTTAGACAACTAAAAACAGGTGTTCAGAAGCAGTGTACAATGAAAGAGAAATCAACCAGTTACTTAATCATGAATTCTCTCTTCTTTATGACTAAAGCAAAAAAAAAAAAAAAAAAAAAAAAAAGGCATTCTGCTATAATGGAAAAGTCAGAAAAATAAGCCAATATATTTTTCTTCGCCATAGTAACATAAACGGCCACAAGGAATCTAATTATAATAAGAGAAATTGGATGTTGGTTGCACATACTCATTTTTTAAAAAACAACAGCCCATGGTACTATTGGAGCATAATTCACCTGATACTCTTGAGTTTTTACTTACAGGTAACACCAAGTTAGTTGTTCCAGCACTGGAGCTAATTCATATTCCCCATTATTTACTGCTGTGTTTGCCTTAAGCAGAGACTAACTCTGGAAGGCTAATGGCTTTTCTGTTTGTTGTTTTAGTCCATAAGTTGTATGCTATCTGTGGCCAGTGTTTGATGATCAAGCTTTAACTTCAGGAGTTGAAGAATAGATGGAATCTGAATTATCTGAAGCAATTTCTTCTAGCTCTTCTTCTTTTGTCTCTGGAAAACCAATTTTGGCTATGGCAGCTCCCCACTATCTTCTTTAGGAAACACATATTTCCAAAGGCCATATGTTTTTCCTACCACAGTCTGCCATATGTTCCGTCTTCAGAACCACTGGCATAGAGTTTTCCATCAGGACTAAATCTCACACAGTGAATAGGACCAAAGTGTCCTTTGTAGGATTCTAATTCTTCTCCATTATTATAATCATACTTATAAAGTCTAAAATCTTCACCACCCGCAACAAGAAATTCTTTCTCAGGATGAAGAGATGCAGAATTGACGGTTGCAGGAGCTTCAGAGGATTTAATTGGGTCTAAACTTACTGCACCATGAAAAGCAATAGATCGTCCATAAGTTATAACCAAAATCTCTCCCTCAGGAATATATTCCATACTACTCACAGACATACTAAAATTTAGAGATTTCACTTCCATCATAATAGCATGATCCCAAAGGCGGACAGTTTTATCATCAGCTGAAAGAATCTGTTCATCCTCACTGCACCATAGAGCCTTTTTAATATGAGAGGTGTGACCACTAATTTCCTTAGGTTCTGCTTCAGGTTCGTTCAAGTCCTATATGCGTAATAGTTTATCCTGTCCCCAGGTTAACAAATAATTGCTGTCCTGTGTGGAATCCACAGTCTTGACAATGTGTTTATGAGCCAGGGTCATCAATTCATCTCCTGAGACCGCATCCCACTCTCTGGCTGTGAAATCTGCAGCTGCTGTAGCTGCTTTCGTGGTATCCTTATTCAATGCTGCACCCCAAACAGCACCTTTGTGACCCAAAAATGTTCCAATCCAGTCTCCTATATCTCCCTAGTGTAGCATAGGTTTACCATCTTTGCAAGTGCTGATTAAGAATACTGAAGGCCAAATCAGCCACGGGCCGCGTGTGGCCCGAGCCAGTGAGCCGAGTCTGCTTCATTGCCATGGCGGCGAACCCAGCGATTGGGCTGGTGAGCTGAGGGTCGTCATCCTGGGGTCTGATTTTAATTACATAAAATGGCATCTTTCACAGGTAAAGGAAGCAAATTCCAGCCATTCCAGGGGCCGTGTAGGGGATGGAGGAGTATCATATTTTAGTTTTACTAGTTTGTATTTAAAGAAACCTTGAGATTTAAATGTTTACCTTGTTTTGTTTTCTAGGCCCAACACCAGAGCACCCTAGAAGGTTTAACTAAAAGAATGCTCATGTTTGACCCAGTCCCTGTCAAGCAAGAGGCCATGGACCCTGTCTCCGTGGTAAGTCTTCCAAAGTTAAATTAATTTCCTTATTTCTTCCTAAGGGTTAGTAACATTATTGTGTATCATGTTATTCCTTAAAGGCACTCATTTACTTGTCAGGCATTTCATAGGCAAATCTTTTCTCAAAGCCCCTAGTGATAAGTGAGATAAATGCTCTCCTAGCAACTGTGCCTTTTAATGAATGGGGTCCCTGCTTCCTTAACAACCCGTGCCCCGCGTCCCCAAGATACATACGATCAGCACAGAACTCAGACCACAGGGAATCCAGTCGTGACGGCAGTAAGTTTACAAAAACTCTTAAGCCCTTCTATGTGTGAAAACATATTAAGAATTAGATGATTTGCTTAACAACCGTTGACGGTAGGCACGTGAAGCTGTGGCTCTACGAGAGGACTGAGGCCGCAAGGGAAAGGGCTTGGCGGTGAGGGTGCAGTCTCGTTTCCCTTGCAAGAGTCTAGCGAGGTGGGGATGATATTCATTGTCCTTTCCAACACTTCAGTGCTAAGCTAACTCCTCTTGTAAGCCAGGCCACTAGATGCTTTTCCAGGTGTTTATATAGGTGCCACACTAGTGCCATGGAGATGAGACCTGGTGACAAAGGAAGTTTCTGATTTCAGAGCAGAGAGCGGTTTAGACTTGAGGGGCTCTGGTTTGTTGAGTATTGAATAACAAGGCAGGGCTCCCACTCTGCCTTGCTCTTTTCTTCCATGGGCTTGGAAAATATTCACAATGGGAAAAAGTTGGCCTGAGTTGTGTCTCTGAAGGTGGTAATGGCACGCTTGCAAAATTAGATCATGCTGATACATTGGCTGTGGAGGTTCCTGCCAAAAATGTTTAGATAAGACTCAGGGGTTCACTCCGAGGCCCTTGGAACTGAGTTGCCATGGATATTATTAAGCCAGTGAAGTGTTTACCAGTATCTGTAATGAAAAGTTAAATCAGAGAGGCTATAAGGAAATAACATTTACATTCCAGTATGATAACTGGATAACCAAGTAGCTGAATATAATAACTGAGCATTCAGAATTTTGTTAGTCAAAAAAATTAAGCTACTTTTACTGTTACTCAGTGCTGTCATATTCATCAGCACCCTCCAACTATTGCATGATGATGTTAGAGGAAAATGAAGGTACACAATTTTCCCATTAATTATATCTTTGGAATATGAATAGGTTTTTAATATTAGAGAATATGATTAATTTTATAAATGATGCAGAACCATCAATGATGCGTTTTACTATTCAGTATACTTCTAATGCTTCCAATCAAGCATGAAAATATGGCTTGAGAGCCTAATTTAAAGCTAAAATGAAGATCCAGATTGCTAAGTTGGAATGATATAATTAAGTGCAAGGAAATGCACTTAACTAAGAAAATGGGAAATAAAATGAATTGGAAGTAACTGTTAAACTTGTAATGTTGTAACTTGTATTAATACATAAAGTTAAAATATGTAGAAGTATTTTTGCAATTAATGATCTTTTTCTCCATGCACTAGTTTTCAACTTCAACTGACGCTTACAAAATTTAATTAGTTTCACCAAAAGTTACCATTGGTCCTTACAATGAAGGTTTTTTTAAATTTTAATTTGTGAAAGCTTGGTTAATAGAACTTCAGTTAACATTTGAAGAATAGGGTGTTATAAAATTATTTTACTTAAAAACATTAAATAAAAACCTTTTGTTTCCATTCTTAATCTTCAAATTTCATCTTTTCTACCTTCATAAAGTGTATTGAACCTAATTTATTATTCCTTTTTTTCATTATTATTATTATTATTTTTGGTGGAGACGGGGTCTTGCTATGTTGCCAGGGTGTTCTCAAACTCCTGGCCTCAAGTGATCCTCCCAACTCAGTCTCCCAAGTAGCTGGGATTACAGGCTCAAGCCACCATGCCCATCATTTTTATTTTTAATTCGGGCTTTGATCTGAAAGTCAAAGTCTTTGGTTATTCAGGTAAATGTTGTAAACATTAAAGCATTATAAGGCATTTGAAAAAAATTTTAATTCTACAAATGAATAAAAATATTTTATGGTAATTAATCCCTCACCCCACTTTTAAAAAGATAGCACAGCAAAAACATTGCTTGTTTGGTGTTTTGCTATAGCTTAGAGAAAGTGAGGATATGCCGTTTCTCTCTTACCAAAATATAAGCCCTTCATACTTGTCTCTGCTAAAGCTGCACTTGGTTAAAATTTGCAAGAATGCGGAGCAGAGAAGACCCTCCCCTGGGTCTATGCCTTGAATCTCTGTTGCTCACTCTCCACACAGTGTTGGCAAAATCACCAGCACCTCCCTGAGCCTCTTTTTCAAATTTTGTCAAATATGAAATAACATGTATATAAAATGCACATGAAAAGAAGTTGTTTTGACTATTTCCAAAAAGGTTGAAAATTAAAGGAATTAATTCAAGAGTTGAAAAAGAATTATTTAAAAAAAAACCACAAAATTTTTTAAATATTTATTTTTTTATTCCTATAGAAAGATTATATTCCCTTTTTTTTCTGTTTCTAATGAAAATTGTCATCTAACAGACTACAGGTTAGAGAAGAACTTAAAATCAGTAATTGGCTCCATTCTAACAGTAACTTTTCATGACTTTTCTGAGCCTGGTAGAAAGAGAGCTTTCTACTTTTGTTTGCGTAGAGGAGCGTGCCATTTGCTGTTTCCAGAGTGTGTGTTTATAAATGCACCACGCCTGTCTGTGCTGGAACTCCACCCTTGGATGAAGACTCTTTTGCCTTGCCCTGTCACGGACGCGCACTTTTTTCATGTTAGTGAGTGTGAAGTAGAGACTTCATCCACGTGCCCTTCAGTCACACCATCCACTTAGTAAACTATTCCTAATAAAATAAGAAACTATTGAAACTCTCACTTTAGCATAAAAAATTTATTTAGAGGTTTGGGAAATTTTCCAGACCCTGCGTCTTTCTCTCCATCACAATTGCAGTCTTTTTTTTTTTTTTTTGCAATTCAAAAAAATTGGAATTATCCTCAGCCCTCATGAGCACAGACATGCTGCGAGAGCATGTTAGTTCACTTTATGCATTCATCAAGTATTTATTGAGCCTCTGTGCCAAGCCCATGCCTCACGTTTCTGGAGAAGCAAAGCAGCAGTCAGCAAGTAAGTCCACACTGTGTGGAGGTGTGAACGTTGGAATCCTTGTTATAACAGAAGGAAAGAACTTTTCTTAATAGCACATCATTTTGAAAAGTAAACCCTTTACCATCCCTAGTGGGAGGTAAGGAGGGAGGGGCAGCCCTGTGTGTGTCTGGTCTTGCTGCTCCGTTCAGGGTGCCAGATTTCCTGGAGTCGGCAGTGTGCACAGGGGGCATTGGATGCCCGTCCGTGGCCAGAGGCGCATTTTCTGCATCATCACTGCTTGCCTCCGATTTGGGTTTCAGGTGGTTACAGCTTTGCTTGCTGTGTTTCCCTGAAACTAAGACAGGGTCTTATATTTATTTTTCTTCAAGAAGACACCCGAGGGCTTATTTTCAAGTATGGTACAGCAATCTACATTTATTCAAATATAGTTAAGTCGTCGTCTTCTGGAACATCATCATCACTCTCCAAACACCGAATTCCATCCTGAATGTCTTGCAACTCTATTTCCTTTAGAACCACTGGCCCCAATCTCTCATGTCGAGCCATAGAGCTCTCATGGGGCAGATGAGAAGGGCTACTTCTCTTCTTTACCGCTCCGCGACTAAATGCATGGGCTGTGCAGGTGCACTGCGTAGCCACGCCCATCACTAGGGCTTATTTTCAGAGTGGGCCTTCTATTGCGCACATGCTTAGAAATCCTGCTAGGGCTTATTTTATGGGTAGGTCTTATTTTCGGGGAATCACAGTACTTGCACTGCTTTTGTTAGAAGCTAGGAATGGCCTGAAATAGAGGGGATGTGACTGTTTCCAGAATGTACCCACCCAAGGCACAAACCCTGATCAAACCCTGTGTCAGTCTTTACTGTGTGGAGAACCAGATTTTTGCAGCACGCTGGTTGCAATAGCTCATGTACGCCACCCACATAAAGTAAATCTGTCTTATAGAAGATTCTGGTAAGCACAGCTATTAAATTTGCCAGTTAGCTGGTTTGAAGGAATGCATTTCTTTATCCTTTTGTGAGACAAATGAACTAGAAATAGTTTATTATAGAGTGGGGTGTCTGTGTCTAAAATGTGTCTCCCCACCTTTAGCCTTGAACCTTACAATAAATACATTCCCTAATGTAGAGGACATTGACATTCATTTGAGAGCAAACTAATATTTCTGTGTCACTTTCTCTTTAGGCTTGAGAAACCTGAGAATATTATTAAATTTGCCAATCACTCAGGTTCTAAATTCCTGCTTTCCTTAAACTCACCCCATGGATAGAAAAATCCAGCAATGACAGCAATAAAAGTGTGTCCTCATTTTGCTCCCCATTTAGCTGGTAATAGCTATTGGCATTAAAATCTAGGCCATAGGGAGGTCTTGGAAGAATGGGGCTGAAATAAAGAAGAAGCTACATTTTAGTTGAGTAGAAACAATGCTGCCTCCCATCTCCTGAAGTTGTGTTCTAGTACCAGAACTATAAAGCATGTTAGACTTTAGAACTAGGAGAAATCTTTCTCCCCTTTTATTTGATTATTTCCTGAAACTCTCATTGTATATAATTTATAATATTTTTTGTTAATGAACCTTTTGCTGCTTTTAATGATGCTGATTTTAATATTTAAATTTAAATCTACTTAATATTTAATATTAATGTTGCTGTATGTTTTGGACATTGCACCTTGTGTGAGCCTGGCTCCAAAGAAAGATAGAAATGGTGGTCTTCATTTGATCCTTGATACAGAAGTTAAAGGTGTTTTTATATATACTTTGTATTTCCTGATTTTGTATCCTTCAAGTCCTTGTTTTTAAGCAGTATTAGTAGTGAACATGCTTTTTCCTCCCTTTAAGTTGACCTTTAGCATGTTTATTTTATGCCTCTCATTTAGAGCCTTGCTGTTCAAATAGGTGGTCTGTAGCACTTTGGGCCACTCTCCAGTCGCACAAAGTCTGCCTTTTATTTAGTAAGATCCCCAGATGAATGCACGTGCACAGTAAAGTCCAAGAAATCCTGGTTGGGAGCAGCAAAGCCCACAGCAGTGAGCATCTCTTGGATACGAAGGGGCTCCTAGTCCAACTTGGTTGTCAGGCGTTATGTTCAGCTCCTCACATAGGTTATCTCATCACCTCACAGCCTCCGGGAAGGTGGGTCTGCAGTACCACCTAACAAGGTTGCTGCATGCTCACATCACCAGACCTCTCATTGTTTACTTTCTTGCCACCTTTTATGGAATTGCTTTTTTAACATAATAAATTTGTTTTAAAGAGGAACTTTATATTACTACTATGAAAAAATATGTATCAGGGTTTTTAACATGTTCAAATAAACACACAAATATTTTAAAGTAATGCATGTTCTTTCGGTACCCCACCTTTGTACCCCCAGACAGAGGTAGGCAGTAATGCTGGAATCCCTGTTCTAGGAGGTTATACAGATTATAACAATCTGGAGAAAGAAAGAAAGGACAGAAGAAAGCAAAACACACAATCCTAACAATGAGAAACTTACATCAAAAGCAGATTGAGTTATGTAATACGAGTCTGACTGCCTGGGCCTGTGTCCTGACACTCCGTGCTCAGCACAGCTGGAGGAGCACCAGGCACCTGGGATTTTACGGACAGCACAGGTGATTCTGATGCATAACCAGATAGATTCACCCAGTCTAGGCCCAGAGAGGAAAGGGTATGATGTCAGTAGTAATCCCAGTCAAGACCACTGCTACCCCACAATTGTTTATAGTCACAGTAGTGGGCACTGGAGGAGCCAGGGAGGCTCAGAAATTAACAGTGCTGGTTGTATCCCAAGCTGTTACTGCCTCCCAATCATAAATGCATTGGTTTTTAGAGCTGGAAGAAAGACGCAGCATGTTACTTATCACTGTCACAGTAAAACATTCAGGTACAAATAATTTTCTGCAAGTAAGCATGACATGTTATCACTAAAAATTTGTTCCCCTAAAATGCCTATGAATATAGAAAATGGCTTGTGTTGAGTTTAATTTTTTAAAGTTAATCATGCTTCTACAAAAAAGAAAATTAACACACAAAATTTTAGTTAAGGAATAGAAGTAATTTAGGTGAATTCCATTGTCTAGGATAGTGTGAAATGATTTTATTTGTATTTAAAGCTGGTAGATGAAAGTCAGGTTATGCTGATAAGACAAGAGAGGAAGGTATTAGAAGATAAATTAGGTCACTTGTGGAACAGGTCTTAGCTTGGGATGAGACAGACCGGCAGCCTCCCCAGCATCTCGTTAGGCCGCCCTCTGGTGTCATTTGCTGAGTGAGACACAGGGCACAGGGCGGTGAAGACGGGCTCTGCTTGTGTGAGTGGCTTCAAGCACCACGTCTCCTCATGTGCGTCATATCACGCTGGTTGTGTCTTACAATTCTGTGTCGTCACGAATTTGGAAATCGGCTCATCTGCAGCTTCATTCAGATTATGAATAAGACCAATGGACAAGTCAGGGAGGTGGACACGGTGGCCCTAGTGAGGGTGGCCTTCGGTACAAAGGCGACCGGTGCTCCTGCGACTGAGGAGCTAGCTGGAATGTGGGCTGGACACAGAACCAGGACAGTCCGTGTTGGCCGCCCTAGGCATGGGCCGTCTGGTTGCTATAGCCCAGGGCAAGGTGCTGTCACACAACCCCTTTTTATTTATCATTCACGAGTCCTGCTGAGGTTAAACACACTAAAGGTAGAGAGCATTTCTTGCCAGCCAAGTGCCGCATCCGAAAAGCAGCAGGTTGGTTTGGCTCAACTTGGAGTTCTTGGTGAACTACTCCGATCCCTCAGGAAAAAGGCCCACGAGCCTGTGTTGTAGCCTTTGTAGAATTTTGCCAGTTACCAGCCTTAACATGTGACGTGGGAATCACTTAGAATTACATTTCAGGTCTTCCTAGTGACATCGTGACCACTAAGGTCAAGTATGCATCTAAATTTAAACTGCTTTTTAAAGCCCATGTAATTACAAGTGCCTTGTTCCATCTTTTTGTCTTAATTCATGTTTCAAGCAAATGCGCTTGCTTATCTGTTTACATTTCTTTCTTTTTTCCCTCTCCGGCAGTCCTACCCATCTAATTACATGGAATCAATGAAGCCCAACAAGTACGGGGTCATTTACTCTACACCGTTACCCGATAAGTTCTTTCAGACCCCGGAAGGCCTGCCCGGAATCCAGATGGAGCCGGTGGACCTCACAGTGAACAAGCGGAGTTCCCCACCCGCGGCCGGTGACTCTCCGTCCTCACTGAAGTTCCCGTCCTCACACCGGAGAGCCTCGCCCGGCCTGAGCGTGCCTTCTGCCAGCCCGCCGATGAGAAAGTACTCGCCCCCTTCTCCGGGCGTGCAGCCCTTCGGCGTGCCGCTGTCCATGCCGCCCGTGATGGCGGCCGCCCTCTCCCGGCATGGGATCCGGAGCCCGGGCATCCTGCCCGTCATCCAGCCCGTGGTGGTGCAGCCCGTCCCCTTCATGTACACGAGCCACCTCCAGCAGCCTCTCATGGTCTCCTTGTCAGAGGAGATGGAAAACTCAAACAGTAGCATGCAAGGTACGTGCCGCCACTGCTCTGGGCCGCTGGCCCGCACAGTAGACCGGTCTCCTCCAGGCAGTCTGGGCCAGACACGAAGGGCAGGAGCTGTTGAACTCTTCAAAGGATTCCTCGACCGCCTACGGCATTTCCATTTTTTTTTGAAGTGTTGATTTTGGAAGAGCTCCCCCAAATCAGGCTATTTTAATAGAAGATGATTGATTACTTTCACCATATGATTGTCAACTTGGGGATGGAATGAATCTTGAATTTTTATATTGCTTTATTGGATACTGACATAGTTTTCTCAGTACAAAAGGCATTTAATAAATACTTTTTGATCATGGTGATAACGAATGGCTGTCCAAAACCACCTTGTTTACCAGTTGGTCATAGACAGAAGACTAAGGGATTGAAAAGAGAGAACCAAAAATCGTAAGGAAGAACCATTTTGGGGTCTGTGTCTTAGAAGTCTAGGTCCTTGTTTGCTGCTTGTTGGCAAAATAATGGTCAGGAGAAACAAGAATCCCCCACAGATTCATTCCTGCTGTAATGGCAAAGGCAGTAAGTCGCACACACCAGTGTTATAGACAGGAGCTACACATGAACTTAAAAGTTGAAATTGGCAAATTGTACACAGAGTGACTTTTCTATTTTTATTTTTTAGTACCTGTAATTGAATCCTATGAGAAGCCTATATTACAGAAAAAAATTAAAATAGAACCTGGGATCGAACCACAGAGGACAGATTATTATCCTGAAGAAATGTCACCCCCTTTAATGAACTCAGTGTCACCCCCGCAAGCATTGTTGCAAGAGTAAGTATATTTAGGTCTGCTCGGCATTTGCTTAGTCACATGCATATCGGGATCAGGAATGGCAGCACAAGATTTCAAATGTGTGATGTGGTGTTTGGGCATGAATGCCTTGAATGTGGCAGCCACTGGGCAGTGACCCCGTACCACTAGTCAAGATGGGAGAGTCTTTCCAAAAACAGTGTGTTCTCTGTTACTGACAACATTATGACACATTATGTCACATTTTCAGTGAATTAGTCATCCATGATTTTGTACCTTTCCACATAAATCATGTTTATTTTTTTATCCTTCTAGGTTATGTATGAGTAGTTTTCCCATAATCAGAACCCTTGCATAGATTGAATTTGGTGCTGCAGATATTCTGCTTAACCTTGGATCATGAAAAGTTTTCATGTGGACACACACAGTCCTCTCGATTGTCACTTCTAATCCAGTACATTGTTTCTATTATGGAGAATGTCTTTAATCAGAAACTTTAGGCCAACTTCAAGCCTAAGAGAGACACTCGCAAACAAGTCCTGTAAACAGTGGTGGCAACAGAAAGCTGTCCGTGTGGCTCAGAGAAGCTCAGCTTTGAAAGAACTCTGTTCTCTGGTCTTTTGAATCACATCTGCCCACAGAGAGCTCAGTCTCTGCGCTGTCTTGGGCAGCATCCAAGCACGCGAACAGTGGTTTGTTTGAGGTCTAACGTGCTGTGATGTGTTGGTGCCACACGCAGGTTAAATGTCATTCATGGGAACTGCCACTGTGGATAGCCTTGACATCTACCAGCGATCACGCTGGGTTGTAGTTTCTGAGATGGCCTTTGGATCCAATAAGGATACAGTGCTGCTCTCCACCATGTGTATGACCTTGGACTACGCCCTTAATCTCACACTCCCATTTCCTCTCCTCTCTTTTTTCATTATTTATTATAGTTTTTGTCATAATTGTCCTGGGTTATGGTGCTTCAGCATTGGGCTGGCTGGTGCCTCCTCGTACAAAGGCAGCAGTCGCTGTCTGTGCCGGGCCCCTTCCATGGTCCTCCCACGTCACCTTTTCTCCAGTTTGAATAAACGTTCCACCCGCCTTTCTTCTGTGTCTTCTCACCCCTCTGCCTCACACGATCACCTCTGCAGCAGGACGTGAATCCTCTGGGTTTAGAACAGCTATTTTCTGACCATTTCAAATACATCCTAGTTGTATCCACATTCAGCGTGGGTAGGTGCCTTCATAGCAGTTCAGGGATTAACTGTCCACTGTGCCGAATCGTGTCGTGTCCCCATTGTCATGTGCTGCCCGGCCGCGGGCGGCTGCTCTGAGCCAGCAGTGGTGGCGAGGGAGGGAGAGTCGGGGAGTGCGCGTTGTCGCTGTTCACACTTGCATGGTGCCCTCCTCCCTCACAAAAAAAAAAGAAAGAAAGAAAAACTTTTCCAAGTGTTTTCAAAGGAATTATTTTATTCCTTCACAACAACGTGTGGGAGTCAGCAGATGGCCACCAAGACATTAGGCAGCTCGCCTGTGGCCGCCCTGTCGCCGCTGAAGGGTCTGCCGGAGCTGCTGTGGATTAGGGCTTTCTTGCCATCGCGCCGTACTTCGCCAGCTGTGTGCTCGTGCTCTCAGGTGAAAGAAAACAAAGTGACAAAACAAAATGGGCACAATTTACAGGCAGAATGGCCTTTTTTTTTTTTAAGGGGCATTGCTGGCAAGGTAACTAGCAACATGCCATGTACTTGTCGTTGTTCCCCCTCAGGCGATTAAAAAGATGCTATAAAACTAAATAAACCCAAGTGCCTACATAGGGAGGGATCCATGGACTGGGAAAGGGTCGTTCCAGCATCTAGGTGAATGTGAATTACAGTGTAAAACATTACAGAAGGTGATTTTTTTCCCAGTGACCACTGTGTGTCTATAGAAGATTTGAAGGCAGTATACTATGCTCTGAATTCTGCTAAAAAGGAAATTCTTTTTTCTTTCCTGTTTTAAGCAATGTTCTTTTGATGATCTTAAGCTCCAGTAGTTTTTAATGATTAATGAGTAATATGCTTATTTTTGTGCTGACCTAAGAATGTATTTTGTTCCTCAAAAAGAAAAAAAATTGGATTAGCCACAACTGGGACACGTACTTTTTAGTTCTCTCACAGACGTGATTAAACAATGTCTTGGCATGTGCCCAGTAGCAGCCCCATAGGAAACCAGCTAGCCAGGAAAGAATCGCTTGAAAGTGGGCTCCTCGGACCACTGAGATGCGGCAGCCCCGGTAACATTTGCCCTAGGAAACCCTTCCTTTCCAGAGGCAGACTTGTAAGGTGCAGCTTTGAAATCCATTTGCTTGATCATAGTGTTGTAGCTGTAGAATTATTTTTAAGGGCACAAAGGTATATTGAATTCTAAAAATGGGTTATATATTTACATGTGAAATGTATTTAGAACAAAAAGTTTGGGGATCAGATTTCCCTATTTAGTTGTGTATGAATTGTAGCTTAACTCAAAACAGTGACCAGGTATCAGATATTTAAAAGCTGTTCTAACTTCTTGATTATAATGATCCCAAACAATCTTTTTAAAAATGAGGGGTGAGGAGACCAAAAAGTGTTGTGAGAACCAAGGACCCTTCCCCAGCCTCAGCCTGAACCATTGGGCACTGCGGAGATGAGCTGCTAACCACACTCGCAGTGCCACTGCTTTCAGGGCACGCAATAACTTGGGCCATTTCCTGGTCTGGGGACATCCCCAGAAACTCCTCATGAAGTTAAACTGGAGAGTTCAAAGTTCCAGATGGGTGAAGCATTTCTGAACTTTAAAATATTCACAGCTCCTATTTAGTAAATTTATAGACGTTGTTCTAAAGTGCACTGTGCACATTACTCATTATTGTCATCATCCCCATTTTATAGAAAAGATGCTGAGACACAGAGAATAAGGTCTTTTCCCAGGATCAGAGGCTGTCAGTGCCAGAGCTGGGATTCAAAGTTGGAGCCCACAGCCTTTCAGCATACCTTTATATATGACATAAACACCTGGAAAAAGCAATTATAATTGCGACACAGAAACCATTAGATTCCCAATCCACAAAATCCAATAATTGGGAGGGATTTCTCAAGTGGTCTGAGACAGATCCTCACTAAATATCCCAGAGATGTAGGAGAGTAGCTACTTAATCATTAAACGTCTTGCCCAGCATTTTATTTCCTGGATGTTCTCTTAATGAAAAGGAAACATTTTCATTAGATGGCGTTAAACTAGAAAGTTAAACTGGTAGCTTTATTCTTTTTATTGGAGAATTTTAAGTGAATAATTCAGCCTTATAAAAACAGTCCATAAACCTCTCACTTCTGTTTTCTCTATTTGTTTGCACATAAATATAATTGAAATCCATGTTCTTTTTTCTGCTGTCCTCACTATTTTGTGTTCACTTGTTCATGTGTCTAAACTTGGCTGTGTTATCCATCTATACCCCTCTTCCAGAAATCAGGGTAGGAAAGTAAAATGATACTCAAACTGACAGCTTTTCTTTGCTTATAATAAAACGTGAGAATTAAGGTCACTTAAAATAAACACACCTTTTATTCTATTTCTCATCACTCTCCTTAGCGTGCCTGAAAAAGTTATTGACAAGGGATGTGTATTCAAGCTTTTACCAAGACAAAAATGCAAATTTCATTTCAGCGACTCTCCTTTGATTTTATTATCATTTTTTTAGCCTTACACACTGAAGTGTTTACTCTCATGAAATTCCTTTTTTCCTTTTCACCAATCTTTTTTCTCCTCATACACAGCTATACAAAACATTCATGTATTATTTGGAACTTTTTAGGAGCTATAGATTCAAATTTGAAAGAGAAGTCTTTCATTACAGTTGCAGCCCAACTGCAACTGTATCCGGTGATTAGTCTTTAGGAAAAGTGAGTGAGCAGATGAGAACGCTTTAAATACTTGTATTAATCAGAGGGGAAGCCAGAAACAGCTTTTCAGACTTTCCCCAGCCCTTTGCCATCTACGTTTTCTCCCTGCACCTTTCTTTCTGGAGAAGAGAAAACTCATAGTAATGATGTTTAACAAGATTTGACTTCAGATCCCCTGTGGGAGAAATCAAGGGAGGAGAATGTCCGGTGTCCCGTGGGGGACCAGTGTCCTGCGTGGCTGCTAGCACTCAAGTTCTCCCTCGTGCAGGATTAATTAATAGTGGATTAATTAATAGTGACAGGGAAGGTTTGGGTTTTTTTTTGTTTGTTTTTTTTTTTTGAAGAGCCAGCATTTAAAAATTAAATGTGAATTGGCGGTCTCTATTATTCCAACTACATGCCACTTACATCAAGGATAAAATATAGGTCCATCTTACAGTGTGGTTGCCTGAGACTCAGGAATTTGACCTTTCTCAATTCCCCTAAAGAACAATGATGAAATGGAGAACCTGTGAAAAGATACAGTGTTCAGCATTGCCCAGTGCCACGAAACGCCAGACAGGCAAATGTTTATAGAGGGAGAGAGCCTCCCTCACACTTGGCACCACCCTCTAGCATAGCAGCTAACCCTTCTCACTGTCCTTACTTACCTCCATGTCTGTCTCCCCTAGAGTGTGAGCTCCTCGAGGGCAGGAACCCTGTTTTTATTCATCTTTGTGTCCCGGTGCCAAGCACAGTGCCTGGCTCATGGTAGGTGCTCACTAAATGTTTGTCAAATGAATATAGCAGTGCTTCTTGGGTTGATCAGCTAATTTCTTTTTGTTTATTTTGTTGGGTGTTTTGTTTGTTTTTTTGTTTGCCCAGTATTATTAATGCTTTTAGTAGACTGAAGAAAGGGAAGAGCCTTCTCCACATTTTGTATTTAACCTTGCCTTTCGCAGGAATCATCCTTCAGTCATAGTGCAGCCTGGGAAGAGACCTTTGCCTGTGGAGTCCCCGGATACCCAGAGGAAGCGGAGGATACACAGATGTGACTATGACGGATGCAACAAAGTGTACACTAAAAGCTCCCACTTGAAAGCACACCGAAGAACACACACAGGTATTAGACTCCCTTCGTCTTTCTTCTTAAGAAGTGTTAGGATGGAATGCTAAAGGCGAAAGTCCTGGCTTTCAAAGGTTATTATAATAAGATTTTTTCAGGCATCTTGAAAGTTATCCTAGTCATCTATGGATATCTCTATTAGTCTTAAAGAGTGAAGGTTTTTGGTAAGTTAGAATAGATTGAAAGCAATCCACATAACAAGGTCCCTCACAATCACAGCTCTGCACCTTCTAGTGAGGGAATGAGAACGGGGTGGGACCTTGGCTGCTGGAACAGAGAAGAAAGTGCTTTAACTGTTGACGCCGGGCCTTCATAGGAGCTATCATTTAACATACGTACGTTAGCAGATTCCTGAAAGAACCATTCTTTATGCAGAACGAATACATGCAGCAGTTTAATAGAAATGGGATCCAAATAGAAGATTATCCTTGAAGGAAAGGAAAGTGAAGAAATTTGGGTGATTTTTGTCTTCCGTGTCATTGTCTGCCGTATTTGTTTTAGGGTATCTTCCACCTTGCCTGGTATTGAATATAGAGTGATTAGCCAGATCATACAAGTATTGTTACAGAGATGAAGAAAATGTGAAATTGTTCTTACTGCCTCTGAACACTGTAATGAAACATCTTAAGGAAATCACACAAACATGTTACTAGCAGCCTGATTGGCTGCAGTCAGTACCGGTGATTAATGTACAGTAAGGCTCATCTCACTTCAGACTCCTAGATGTGACATTTTAGTTTGACAGCAACTTGCCTCTGTACGTTTTCCCTAACTCGGAACATAAGATTCTTTTTCTGAGTCTGGCAAGTCATTCTTACTTGGAATATTTATGAAGGGAGGAATCTGGGGCTTGGAAGGGAAAAGGAAGCAAAGTGTCTGGCATTGTGGAAGTGGAGTTTAGCTGAATCCTGGGGGAGGCAGAGGAAGCTGAGAGAAAATCAGCCTACACTCCACTGTTGTTTTGCTTTGACACAATGTTGTCCCAGAGAAACCTGAAGGTGTCAGCCTTGTGTTAAAAGGAACACCAAAACAGCAATGCCAAATCAACTCATAAAAGCAACCCTAGGGCTTTAATGGGACCCAAGAGGTGGATGCTACCGACTTGGGACCTACAGTAAAAAAGACATTGATGTTTGAATGACAATTCAGATGTGGGGAAAATGTGTATATTCTGTATAGCAAAACAGATAATACAAATTCTGAATATCTCATTGAAATGCTGAGGAATAGCAGCCCTGCGAGGTTTCTAGAGAACAAGGGATGTTGAATGGAAATAATTCGTGATACTCATTACCCCTCATTACTAATTTAGGCATGTAGGATTGCTATAACACCCTTTTTATTTGTAGGGGCCTTCATACTGGCTCTCCCTGTCATTTCCCCATAAAGGTAAATTCCTCATCTGTAAATTGTCTTTAGATGGAGTTGCAAAAACCAAGCTTTGGACAGGTGGGGAGTAATTACTGTATTTTTAGTACTTTTGAATTAAAGCAGTATACCTTGGCATAATTGTTAACTGACTAAACAAAACAGGATGTTGAACTAACAGGATAGTTCAGTTGATAAGAGACTTCATATTTTTAGGACACTATTGAAGAGTACTACAGAGCCCCACAAACTTTGGATTTGGACTTCGGATTAAAGGAATAGCACTGCATGTAATTAAGCACCGAGTAGGTTTAAGACTTGAGATGTACAAAGCAGGTCACCATGTGTTAATTAAGTCATTATTTGGTGGTAGTCCCTCAATGGATTTCAGTAACTTTATGTTTTAAGAACTCTTAAAAATCTTCCTCCACCTTTTTTTGGCAGAGAGCCAAATAAACATTAAGATAATTTTTTTTGTCCTGTAGTGGTTTATAAGGCACTGTGTTATTGAGAGACAAATGTATGAACATATCTTGGAAATAGCATTTCTCAAGCATTTGCTTAGAAATCTTCACTGTCTTTATAGGAAAATTAAACAATTTTCTTCGTTTTTGCAGGAGAAAAGCCCTATAAGTGTACGTGGGAAGGATGCACATGGAAGTTTGCTCGGTCTGATGAGCTAACAAGACATTTCCGAAAACATACTGGAATCAAACCTTTCCAGTGTCCAGACTGTGACCGCAGCTTCTCCCGTTCTGACCACCTTGCCCTACATAGGAAGCGCCACATGCTAGTCTGAACGCCTCCACCTCCAGCCTCAACACGACTCCCCACTCACCTGGCTCTCTGTCCTCCCTCCCATTGTCTAACACATTTTTTACATGTACGTTTTAATTTTGATTCAGCTGGCCTGAATCTCTGAATTTATATCATTCAAAACTTCCATATGGTCAGTAGTGGATATTCTCTAATCCTCCCTCTCCTTACCACGGGTCAGACCTAAAGAATGTGAACACTTTTTTTTTTCGGGGATGCTAAGCAAACCCTTCTTATAGATACGTTTAATGTAACGAGAACAAGGGAACATGTAAATTAACACAACCAGTTGTCGGTTTCTCCATGTATTCCTCAAAAGAATGTCAGAGTAAATGTATTAGAAATACAGTATCCAGCCTGCTAGTCCTTGCCAGAGACATTCATACCTCTGTGCCCTGTGATCACATTTTATTCTTGACAGCAGAAAGAAAGGTGGTCTCTCTCTTTCACCGGTTAGCTAGAAGTACAGCAAGATTTCAAGCTAGTACAGTCAATTTTTCCATCGTCCTTCACAAATCTTGCTTGTCAACCTGGATTTATCACTTCATCTGAATCAAGTTCTTTGCTATCACTGGAGATGAGCCAGAGCTTTTGGTGTAGGTGGGTGATGTGTCCCAGTTCAAGGGATGGAGCCTGTGCTTTCATAGCCTGGTGTAGGAGCAGGGGCCATTGAGCTGGGGAGCCAGGGAGGCAAAGGAGGAAGCCGGCCTATCCTCCTGGGCTGGGTTGGTGAGATTTCAGCATTTGGTTAGCGGTGCCATGCACTCCCAGAGCTTCAGTCTCGGGGGCTGTGCAGGACCGTGCATAAAGCCAATACTGACGGGGTCATCCTTGCCACGATCTCCACTCCTACAACGTCCTTAATAGGAGAATATCAAGCATGGATGGAAGGGACTCCACAAAAATATTTGCCTAGTAACAGTAAAAAATCTTTTGGGTAAGAGTATGAATGGTCTTTCTTTTACCTAAACCTGCATACAGCTTTTTTGTAAACAGGAAGTGTTGAGTGGTGCTTGTGTTCCCCTATCAAGTGAATCCATAGCCGTACACAGAAGCTCTTCCGTGTGAGCTGTGAGGCGCCACATGGGCTGTCATTTGTGTTCCTGACACAGATCATAAAGAAGCATCTGCTAATGCTTTGGTAGATTCATTGAATTAAGCCCAGAGTGACACTATTTACAAATAAGATGAGTTGTGAAGCACACATACCTTTATTTTGGGGATTTCTGAAAAATTCAGAAAGCCACAGATCAGGGATTCACATTTATAGCTCAAAAATTCCCCAAAGTTTACTGTTAGAGCTGGCAATTACCTATCACTGTCAAGTATCAGAACAAACTGAAAATAATGACTCATGTTGAAGATAAATAGCACCATTATTGTAGCAAGTTTTCAAAAGCAGGCTTTTGAGCACCATAGTCGATGCCAATAAAAATGGTTCGTGCATAGAAATGTCATTGGTCCTGAATTTGAAGAAAGTGAGCAACGGTGGTTAAACGTAGGTACGTATAACCACGTGCCCCTTCTTCATCCCTCAGTGAATCGAGAAGAGAGAAGAATGGAATCCTGAACATTCATCCCAGCCACAACTCAGGATCCAACACAACCTTAACTGGGAGGAACACATTGTTTAAGCATTTTTAAATGATCAGTGAACGGGTGGTCCTAGAGGCCTGTGAATTTTGTGGGGAGCTGTGATGGCGCTACATCAATTAAAATTGTAGGGACTGTACCTGGAGGGTCCCACTCAGCCCTGTGAACCAACTGAAAGGAAATGTAGTTGAGAAATTTGTTATCTTGGCACTTGGTTTTGATTTTTTTTTTTTTAGCACTGCAAAATTTATTTAGAACATTAAAACATCCTAATTGGGCTTTTTTTTTTCTTTTTTGCAACTAAAACATGAATTGAGGGGTAAAAATGGCTCTTTGAAAAGTAGATATTGTCTGTATTATAAATGCTTAATCACATTCATGCCAAAGTGTTCATTTCTTGAAATGGTTCTTCCACAACACACAGAATCAAGATGGAATGCAAGGAACTTTTTTGTTATGTGGAAATAACTAGTTTATGTGTGTTCCCACCCATATAGGGGGGAAAGGGGATGAGAAAGGATAGAATTGATCTTTGAATCAGCTTTGAGTCTGAGTGTAGTTAATAGAAAGCTTTAAGAGTTCTCATGAAATTTGATACATTTGCTATGGCATATTTACATGTTCAAATGATCAAGCAAGACCCTGCAAAGACTCTTACACATTGCTAAGACTCTTGCTTAGATTATATTAACAACTTGTTAACAAAGATCCATTTCAACTCTGGAAAAACAGCCCATAGAGGCCATTCTCTGTTCCCATGCTGGTCAATGTACTTTTTTATTACCAGTTGGCCATTACCAAATTCTTATATATATATTTGTATTTTACTATGATAGTTGGGGGAAATTTAGTCTCTTAGTCATTTTTAGCTGTTACTGTGGAAGATCTCAAATATGAGATAAAATGCCCTTGTGTGGTTTTAATGATGCGCCATGTTGCCATCAATGGCGATTTTAATTGCAGTATTTTACATTGATGAAAATGAAATGTAAACATGAAGTTGGTGTCATGTAAATTTTGTTTGTTATAGAGTTTCTTCAGTTAGTACCCCAAATGTCATCTTGGAGAAGTCAGAATTAAATCCGAATCCATCATATTTTAGAGTTTTAACATGTGAATCTACATTATAAAATGGGCATTAACATTCTAAATCATTTGGTTTGGAGAATGTGTTAGCAGCATAGCTGTGTTCAACTAAGGAGATGCTAAATACACAAGTTTCAAGAGCCTTGGAGCAGAATTACAGGGGAACTGTATATGTATATTTTGTTAAATACCCATCTGCACTATCAGTATTGCACTAATGTGGAATTTGAAAGATTATATTGCTGATACTATATATCTGCACATCATTCCTGATAAATTCTTTTAAAGACAATCTTAAAGATCTAAAGTTTTAAAATAATTTGGTTTGAAAATACATAGTTGTCTTGAAGGAATTGCTGTCATACATGAAGTTGCTCAGAGTTGTCTTTATTCTCTTGGTCAAGGTTAATTTCTAAGTGATTGCAAATTCACCTGAATAATACATTTACAAAGCCATTTTACGTGCATTAAACGAGGGCTACAATATCGTTTTACAAATACTAGCACTTTTTTTTCTGTTGTGTACTTAGTGTTAGGGGGTCAAAATAATCTTTCTGCTTAGCATCTCTTAAACCATACCTGCAAGTATAGCAGGATTATTACATTTACAGTACTTTAATACTTGTATAAACTATGCAGAAATTTTTAATAAAGTGTAATATATTTTATAAGCTAATAAGACTGAATGGGTAAAGGTTTTTAGCATGCATTAGTATACTTGCAAATACTGAGACATTTTGGTAATCTTTCTTACTAAAGATGTGAATGTTTAATGTACCTTCTGTTTCTACTCTGTAGTCCAATGGGAATTCAGTAATGACATTTTGTCATGTCAAACTGTGAACATAAATTTGTACTGTACAGTCCTCATATACTATATACAGTATGCAATATATGTATTATATACTTGTTAATAAAACCATCAGAATATTGAGTGTGATCATGTGATTACTATATATGCAGTGATCACTAGGAACAAATCTCAAATGAGTAATGCAATAGCCCCTGCTTAGCAATTTCAAAGTAAATCACTCTTTGATGGGTAATCATTAATGGAGGGGAAAAAAGATCTAACCGGAAGATGTACTAAAGTAATTAGCTCAGCCTTAAAGCTATGTCCCTAGTTTTTCTGATAACAGCCAACAAGGAGTCTTCTAAGCTCAAACCATAAAACTACAGAATATAATACCTAGCACATTCTTAAAAGTTTTACTTAATTGTGGTTTACCCCTCCTGTTTCCAAAAAGAATTTGCAGTTCCTTGTGTGAAAAGACACATATGTAAATAGTTTAAATTTTTCACTAGGATAACATAACAGGATTCATATCATGAGAAGTAGGGAACAAGGAATGGGACAGTTACTGCATTGCAGTAGATAATTCTGGATATATATATTTCAAGCCTTTAGTTGCCATGTCCATGGACACTGCAATCTCTTCAGTATCACAAGAACAAGTATTTTCTGATAAGCATTTAGAGTTCTTTTGTTTAAGGGAAAATGTAATAACCTCTCTCCCTCCTAATTGAAACCAAGATACTGACTTGTTAGACCTCAGCAGCTTCCCTGAGCCTGGACTTCATTTTAGCAAAACGTGAAATAACATCTGGCTGGCACTTAGCTCCTGACTCAGCTTCACAGGTCGGAGAGTGGCAGGAGCTCAGAAGGCCAGGTGTCTGCAGTCACCTTTGGAGGCCCCCCACCCCAGGGAATGTCACTGCTTTCATACTGAGGTAGTTGATGACAAGCTAAAAAGCAATTGTGTGTGACTTAGGAACCCTAAAGGAACATCAGCTTGGATCAGTCCAGTTGACTGGCTGTAATCCTTCCACTGTATTTCTCATGGATGGCATGACACTTGCTGAGTTCAAAATAAGACCATCCCTCTAGGAGGAATTGTTACAAGCTGGATTCTGCCCAGGTAAATGACCAAGGTGTGACAAATGTAGATTCTATGAGAAACTAAATTCTTTGAGGAATGGTTAAAGCAAGGATATTCGACACAAAAAAAGATAACACATAGCCACTGCTTGCCCCTTCCATTAGCCTCTCTGTCTCTGGGGATTCTGTGGATTCAACCCACAGTAGAGTATTGCCAATACTTGGGGGAAAAAATACAAATAATGATACAAAATACAAATAACACGGTACAGCTGTTTATTTAGCATTTATGTTGTATTAGGTATAAATAATGTAGAGATAATTTAAAGTATAGATGAGGTTATGTAGAAATACTACACCATTTTATATAAGGCAGAGCACAGAAAGACTTTGGTATCTGCAGGGTTTTGGAAGCAGCCCCCTACTAGGACAGTGAGGGACAACTATTACTTTAAAGACCGTCAGGTTATAGCCAGGCACGGTGGCTCACGTCTGTAATCCTAGCACTCTGGGAGGCCGAGATGGGTGGATTGCTCGAGGTCAGGAGTTCAAAACCAGCTTGAGCAAGAGCAAGACCCTGTCTCTACTAAAAATAGAAATTAATTGGCCAACTAAAATATAGAAAAAAATTAGCCGGGCATGGTGGCGCATGCCTATAGTCCCAGCTACTCAGGAGGCTGAGGCAGGAGGATTGCTTGACCCCAGGAGTTTGAGGTTGCTGTGAGCTAGGCTGATGCCACGGCACTCACTCTAGCCTGGGCAACAGTGAGACTCTGTCTCAAAAAAAAAAAAGACCATCAGGTTAAAGCAAGTGGGATTATGAGTCTTGCTGGGAGACAAGTTATCAATCCTAGTATGAATTAAAGAAAGAAATGGCTCAGTTCAGAGAAGGATGGTGTTAAAAGGTAAACTTAGGCACATTAAAATTTTGAAGAGTTCATTTGAGCAGACAGTGATTCGCGGATTGGGCAGTACCAGACCAAAAGCAGTTGGGCTCCACCAAGGGTGCTGGGGGAGTGTTTATAGGGTGCTCCCAGAAGCAAAGCAAAGAAATTACTTGATTGGTTAAAGTTGACAGTTCATAGTTAGAGGCTAACTGGGAGTTTCTCTTTGGTAAAATCTCTAGTTAGAGGTGAGTTGGCAGTTTCCGATTGGTTAAGCTTAAGCTTTATTTTCTTAGGCTATGATCATTCGCTCTGATTGGGGCTTTGGTTTATTTACTCAGGCACCCAAGGCACTGGAGCTGCCTCAGCCTAATGCCTTCCTAATTAATTTGAACAATGGGTTGAGATGGTAATAAATACATATAGATGTATGAATTAAACTATTAGAGACCAGAGTGACAAGAGTGTATGCACAAAACTCAACAATGAATTGTTCTTCAAGGATACGTTCACTTTAAGATGTGGAAACCAAACCTGTTACCATTTCTTATTGTCTGAGCAGATCATAGCCCCAGTAGTTAGTAATAGTACTGTATGCAGAATGACTCCCAAATTGGAATGCCACATGCTGTAAATTAGAATTATTTTTAATGGTGGGGTGGGGGAAGACAGTTCTCACCAAGTTTAGACATGTTTATTGCTTGATGTAATTCATTGCTAATTACATCCCTGGTTTGCATTCCCTACAGGCACCCTGAGTGGTCAGGGTTAAGAATAGAAGATAGAAACTAGATCTTTGGGCTCCTAGATCATGTCTCTTTCACACGACACACATTCACTGCATTCCATGTTTCTTCCTTCTCTCAAGACTCAGGAACTCCATCAACCCAAGGACTTGGCATCTAAAGAACTCTGGGATAGGAGCTCTTGGGGACTTTCAAGCCTCACCGATCTGCTCCAGCACAGATGGCATCTGCTGCAGAGCCCGACGGCGCCTGGCAGTTACACACCAAGAAGGCTATGCTCATGTGGTTCCTCGACTGGACTCCCACCCGCACGTTCCAGCCAGCCCTCCTGCGTCATCTCAGTGCCTACTTCCTGCTCAACTCACGTGACCCTCCGTCTCTGAAGTTGCTCACCATACTCTATTTTTTCAATGCTCTCCTCGCCAGAAGAAGATCCCCTGGCTGGGCTGAGGCTCACTGGCCTGTGTGTCCTAAGCACACACGCAGGCAGGCGTCGTTGGAGAGTAGTCTGGGAAGAGGTGGATCTGAGTTCTGCTTCTAGCTCTGGCACTAACCTCTTCTCACCCGTTCCAGCCAGCTGGCCACCTCTAGGCCCCTCCTGAGTCTGTTCTCTCCTGTCCCTTGCTGGCACCCTGCCCCAGCTCAGGCCTCTTTGTTTCCCGCTGGGACTGGCCCAGAACTTCCCTCGCTCTCCCACTCAATGCTCCTCCTCCACCCGTGGCTGAGAACTGACCCTGGTACTGGCCCTCTGTTCAAGCCCTTCCAGGGTCCTCATTGCACCTAAACCTGGTTATTCTTAATTCAGCCCCATCCCCGTTAGGCCCTCATATGTCATCAAACGTTTGTTTTTCTTTTCCTTTTCTCCCAAGAACCTTGAATCACTTTCCACACACAGTGACTTCCATGGGCACACAAGGCATCCGGGGAGACACTCACCAAACTCTAACTCATCTTCCAAAACCCCACTCAGAAGTCACCTCTTCTTTGGTCTTTCCTCCAGTGAATCCCACTCCCCTTCTCCATGGAGACACTCTCCCCAGTTCCTTCTGTGGCCCCATGACCCTGTGATTTCCTAAATTATTAGCACGTGTCCCTGCATGGTCAGTTTGCCCATCGGTCTCCTTCCCTCTGAGATCCCAGGCCATCCTCACACGATTCTACTCCAGCTGCCGGCGTCCAGTGCTCAGGGCCAGGCACAAAGTGCACCAGGGGGTGTGTTGGGAAGTGTGCCCAGGAAGGTGTGTTAGATGAGCAAGTGGGTAGGAATAGCTAGCATTAATTGAGCACTTACTATATGTGCTGAACTGTTCTAACACTTTGCAAGTATTAATTCATTTAACTCTCAGCACTGTAATCTATTATCATTCTCTTTTTACAGATGGAAATTTACAGATGGCACAGAGAAGTAATTTACTCAAGGTCCCAAAGATAGCAAGTGAAGACCCAAGTTCAAATCCAGAGCGTGCTCTTGAAACTATTAAACACAGGTCTCTGGTCTGGGTGGCCTCCTAACCATTTTGGTGCTTCCTCTAAAAATTCAACCCACACAGGTTTGCCTTTGCCTATATCAAGCCATCTTCTGGGATGCCCTCCCACCATCCAGGCCTGACTTGTCTATCCCTGAACTAGGAAAATACTGCTAATTCTTCAGTACTTGCACAGCCAGAACTCCCAAAGTGGCGAAAGAAGGGGGAAATTTGCTGGACATATTTTTTTTTAATGTTAGGAATATTGTATAATTTACATAAAATAAAATGATTCTTTTAAAAAAAGGCCAGGCGTGGTGGCTCACGCCTGTAATCCTAGCACTTTGGGAGGCCAAGGAGGGTGGATTGCTCAAGGTCAGGAGTTCGAAACCAGCCTGAGCGAGACTCTGTCTCTACTAAAAATAGAAAGAAACTAATTGACCAACTAAAACATATATATACAAAAAATTAGCCGGGCATGGTGGCGCATGCCTGTAGTCCTAGCTACTCAGGAGGCTGAGTCAGTAGGATCATTTCAGCCCAGGAGATTGAGGTTGCTGTGAGCTAGGCTGATGCCACGGCACTCACTCTAGCCTGAGCAACAAAGCGAGACTCTGTCTCAAAAAAAAAAAAAAGAAAAAGAAAAAAGACATAGAACAGGCCGGGTGCAGTGGCTTATGCCTATAATCCTAGCACTCTGGGAGGCTGAGGTGGGAGGATCGCTTGAGCTCAGGAGTTTGAGACCAGCCAGAGCAAGAGTGAAATTCTATCTCTACTAAAAAATAGAAAAAAGTAGCCAGGCATGGTGGTGCATGCCTATAGTCCCAGCTACTTGGGAGGCTGAGGCAGGAGGATCATTTGAGCCCAGGAGTTTGAGGTTGCTGTGAGCTAGGCTGATGCCACGGTACTCTAGCCGGGGCAACAGAGTGAGACTCTGCTCCCCATCCCCCCCAAAAA